AGAGAGAGAGAGAGAGAGAGAGAGAGAGAGAGAGAGAGAGAGAGAGGAGGTCAGGGCAATGAAAAAAACATAACTATCTATTCCATTCCCTTGCATTTAGTCCAGAAAAATAACTCAGGCTATTAGAGACAGATCAATCAAAAAGTCAGTCTTGACCAAGGAGAGAGACAGCGCATGTAGGCATCACTGATAGAGTGATGGAGACATGATATCCAAGCCTCAGGGCTTTGATTCCCTATCCTATTTTGTGTTGTTCTGGTACAAAGATTCTAGGGATATTATGTGCTGAGAGGAGCTTCAAGACATGTAGGAAAGTAGACATCAGAAGGGAAGATGATTTGGGGAAATGACTATCATTTAATTGAGACTATATGTCAAAAATATCTGTTGTTTGATTCTAGTGTAAGATAGGAACAATTGACCTATGCATAGGTCACTAATATTCACCATGGAGAAAAAAAATCAATAATATTAATGATAAAACTTTGTATAAAAAGACATTCTAAAGAGGGTGAAAATCAAAAGAATTCAGAACAAGAAAATAAGTTCCTTACCTATGGCTTTGCATTATTCATTTATGTTATTATGGGGTCCAGTGAGATAATATATCAAGGTAGATATCATATGATATATATTATCCCCTTATGAGTTTATATCTAGAAAAGTCAAAGAAATGTTTATCTATCACTAAAACCAAGACACAGGCCCGTATTTCTAGACTCCATTTATATACATCTATATATTTTTAACAGAAGAATGAGAGAGTCTTAATGACATCTTTTCATTAGCTGAAAAATATTAATGTGCATTAAGTTGTGACAAGTTTTTGATAGTTAGTGAAGAAACAGTGGTACCTGGAGATGGCACAGTGGTTACGAGCCCTGGATGCTCTGCCAGAGGACCCAGATTCAATACCCAGCACCCATCTGGCTGGTCACAACCCTCTGTATTTCCAGTTCCAGGGATATATGATGCCTTCTGAGGGCACCAAGTATGCATGTAGTTCACAGACATACATGCAGGAAAAACCCACCTACATTAGTAAGTAAGTCTGCAAGCAAATCTTGGGGAAAAAATTAGTGGGTTTCAAAATGGAATTATAAGTAGAGAGATTTTCAGAGCCAACAGGTCTCCAACTACACAAGGTTTCATTGTTCTCCTACTGGAGAGTTCACCAGTGATACAGGATTCCTGATGTTTGAATTCCAGTTCTGGCTTGCTTGAGGCTCTAGCTTCTCGCTAAAGGAGAAAGAAACAAAATTAATATTATCGAGCCTTTTATTGGTGAAACAAGAGAGAGCTGTCCACGGTACTGCACATGAACCTCTTTTTACCAGCATACAGATAATCTACCCTAGGCTCCAGGCTATCAGGGGCCTAGTAAACTTGGGCTATAAGGTCATGGAGAGAAACTGGGTAGACAGGCAGAAACTGTGGCAGTGCTCCAGAGCACCAGAATTGTGTGGGTGTCTCCCA